TCGGTGACTATATCGTACAGAAGTGTCAGGTGGGAAAATGAAAATTTTTATTTGCCTTATCAAAAATCTGAAAAACTTCACATAGACTAATTCGATGTCGTAATGAACGAATCTGTGGTGGAAATCGGGAAATTTCGGAAAATGGTGACGTAGTAGCCCACCGGACTGCTCCTATTGGCAATAAAAGCGAAGCGATAATTCGCGTGGATTTCCGCTATTGAAAATCTGAAAAAAATTGCATAAGTATATATGTGTATGGGTAGAAATAATAGTAATAAGTTGAAAACAATTGTGAAACGTAGATTTTTTCAAAAGTTAATTTCGAATTATCGAAATGAAAAAGTACAAAATGACTGATTCAACTTAGATCTTTCAGGAATGCAGCGAAATAGTATCTGTCAGTCTCGTTCATGCAGCATTCATTATTTCAAATGCGTTCACTTTCCCCCAATGCTCAACTTGGAAGAAAGAAATATTTTTGTATTGGAGTTTCTTGGTACAACTTTCGAAATCTTTGAAATCGGTAACTTTCAGCTACTAAGATGTAGTATGGCTTCTTTTATTCACTGCTTTCAAGTTCTTGATGAAAAATAAAGGTGAAAAAAAAATCAATTTCAATTCATGTACTTCTCACTATGACTGTGAATGTTTAATGTTGATGAACTAGGGTAACAAGGGTCTATATGTATTGGTTTGATGAAACAAAGTTCTATCTGAGTATTCTGAGTGTAGATAGGACCATGATAAAGCAAATTAAGTATGTAGTTATAATGTTGTTACACTAAATTAAGAGAGAAACATTCTGTAGATAGAACTCTGCATTATGACTAACTCTTTTGAATTCCAACAAATTGCGATAGTTGACCTCTCAAAATGAAGAAGTCATCAGATAGAACCCTAATATACAAAAATCTCAATTTTGTTAAAAAAGGCAGATAGAACCTTATATTATTCTAGGGCGACGCATACCTATCGTGATTTTTTTTTTACTGGCTGTTTCGACTTCGAGATCTCAATTAGCCATTCAAATGTGAGTTTGTTTTCGTTCAGGGCCCTCTATTCGATTTCGTCGAAGCGGAAAGCTCCCTTTTCCTTTCAAACAGCCGCATTTCTCATTATTTTGCCCCTCCGTTTTAGGGGACCGACACCATTCGGATCGATACCCAGTACGTTCAACCATCCAAACCTTACCCAACTCTAAATTTGTTCCCATATGTTCGAGTCTCGTCGTATGGCCCTTTTTTGCCTTTCCGCCCACCATGTGTGAGATGCACACGTGCCAAAATGTGTGCTGCCGTTTCCAGCTCGCACACTTCTATTTTGATGAAAATAAAAATACGAAAGTCGAAAACCCATTCAGTTATTTTAGAATGAAACGAAAATTGAATCTACGGAACATGATACAAAGGCAATATTTATTGAGAAGGAATATTCTCAGATAAATTATGAACATGAAAATATATATATATATACAGTGTGTGCGATTTCAACCCGCAACACCCTTCTAATTCGGAACCCATCGACCGATTTTCAGAAACGAAAATTCTAAAATATGCTACTCAACGAGCTCTAATCGAAAATGTGGACAAATTTGAAACATTCAGATTTTCAAGGCCCACTTTTGTTTGTTGAAGAGGTCAAAATTGCAAAAACGACTATTAGGCATTTTTTTTTCGAAACAGTGACTAGCCTATAGCTGTCGAATATAAAACAAATAGAATGACAGACAAATACTCTCTAAAGACTGCTAGGATATAATATACTGATGTTTGATGTGATCATAATCATAATAATATACCGATTTTGGAATGAAAATTTGAGATGACAATGAAAATTTGTATGTATAGAGAATATTTCCCCAGATTAGTCACCATTATCTATATCTCCTAGAGAAAAGTTATGGATCATAATAAAAAAAAAATCGATTTCAATTTCATTAATTATTGGTTGACCTAGAGAGATCTTCCTGTAGAAGTTACAGCGATGAAACTTCGTACCTATGTATTCGATGTGTTCCTCTGTTGAATAACTACTTCACTGGTTATATCAACTCCTTAGATTTTGATACAGGGTGAATCGAAAATTCAAAAATATCAAAATTCGCCATTGAATAACTAACACCCTATATGAGATTTTGCGTTCAAATTCCGTATAGGGGTATTCCAGCTATACCTGAATCGTATAGGCTAGTCACTTTTTCGAATGTTCATAATTCATTTAAGAATATTCCTTCTCAATATTTTCACCCAATCAAGCGGTTCAAACTTGAACGATGGCTTGTTATTTTCATAGACCTCTAATCGCAGATTCTTGATTAGGTTTTCTCAATTCAGAATGTCTTTTCACGTCCTGTATAATGGATATCAATTTGTTATACATCCAGAGACAATATTTATCTTGAAAAAGTTCGATTTGGACAAGCGGAGCCGGAACGTCTGATATTTTTTACATATCGGTTATTGTTTCTATCAGTGCTGAACATACTGTATATCGTATTATCTATTCTGTATGATATGGTCATGTATTGACGCATTTCCTTGTTATTACGTTCTGAATCTTGATTCAAATGATCTATACTTCATTAATAATAATTGTTGTTGCATTTAATTCTGTTCGTTTTCTATCAGCATCAGTTATCTAATTATTAAAGTAAACTGCTCCTCATGAGTTAGGGATACCTATTTCAAAGAATACCAATAAGTTTCATTTTCAATTTTCTGAGATTTCCGTGAAGATATTCAGGCTGTATATCTTCTCGTGTGCCACCCGGTATTATAATCTGAGTACTTTCAAAAGCCCGTCATCAAATTTGACCCAAGGCGGTATGCAAGTAATCAAGCTCTGGTAATTTTCAATAATTAGAGTAAGAACACACACGAATAGTGTCCATTTTGTAATAATATCCGCTCTATTACCTTGCAATTTTCTTATAGCAGCAATTTCTCAACGTTGGGTAAAAAATGTTCCTGAATGGAAGAATTTCAAATCTTACAGTCATTCCATTTGTTGCAGTCGTTCTGAGCTATGCGCGTATCTACAGTACATATTGTTTGTTATTTTGTTAATGTTTGTGCTTACCTATAGCTATCACTTACTATATACTTACCACTATTCTAATGGTGAAAGAATTTTTCGAATCAGTCCAGTAGTTTCGAAGCCTATTCAATACAAACAAACAAACTGACAAACAAACACATCTTTCTCCTTTTATATTATTAGCACAGTTTATTAGTATAGAAAAACGCTGTCGAAATAACTAACCTCGGACCTATCGTACGCTATTAATATGAGTCATCTGAATTTCATTTTCAGCAAAATGCATTTTTTTTTGCTTGAAAAATAATTCGCACATTGTCGAGCAGAGGCAAGATGATGATGCTTGTAGTAATTTCTTAATTGGGCTGAAAATGGACTTTTTTAAGTCCGAAACATATTCCCTTGAATAAGCACATCATTAAAAAAGTGTGGAGATGACTTTGAGCTTTCCTTCTTTCCTATGAAAAATTCCACTCCACTCTGGACTTACCAGAGATTTATGTTTTAGTTGTGATGGATCATTATCTAGTAAGTTTTCTTGATATTCCTGGGATGCAAAGTGATATGATCGAACCCAAAATTAGTTATCTGTGATGACATTAATTGACAGCAAATATAAAAGTCTACTCCTAATATAAAAACAAATATATTCCAAATTGAATAAACATATAAACATAACATAATAAATAAATAATGGTTTTCCACTTCATTCACTCCACAAGTGAGCTGGGGCAGAAAGTACGACTGGGGCAGCGTGCACATACTGGGCTGCGCGTACTGGAGCAAGCATGTGCAAGTGGGGCAGAATATACCTTCTGTACTGGGGCAGAGTATACATTCAGTACTGGACCAGAGTATACAATATCTACTGGGTCAGAGTGTGCAGCTGGAGCTAGGTAAACTGGAGTTTCATGCTTCTCCACGACTGTGTTGAACATGTCGTGGTTATCAGCGGAATAGTGGGCTGTACGAAGGGTGCTATCGGGAGCAGCTACGGAGCAGTAGCTCTTCACAGAGTCAACATCACGTTGTTCGAATTTGGGGTGAGCCTCTTGTTGGTAAAAAAGAATATAAGCATCCCCACTTACGAGAGAGTTCGACGAAATTGAAGAAACCAGGGAATCATTGTATTCGTGCCAAATTTTCGTATATAGATGTCTGCAGTAGGCTGTGTAGTGTCCGCTGTAGGTGGTACCGCTGTGGTTTGAGATAGCGTACAGATTGTAAGGACATGGTACGATATCTTCAGCTGCATAGGGGCTCATGTCCAAGCCGATCAAGGGGAAGTCGACAAATGTGTTAAGTTTCTCACTGAACTCTACAGTCTGCGAGAAACGTTTCAGATGTATAATTCATAAATTTGACTGAGTTACCATGGTAACGGTGATTCCATCAAAGATATTCCTCTCTGCAGCCATGATGTATTTCTATCTTTCTTGAGACGTGGTTTTCACAGTGAGAGAAATGAAATATTTTATGTATTTCGGGCGTAACTTTGTCTTCCTTAAACATTGCAGTCCATAAAAGCCTATTTTACACCCTTGATTCATAAATAACTATTATCAATTACTAGAAGGAGCCAAAAACTTTATACTGTCATTGTTAGCGACTCATGATGATGAATAATAGTGTTTGTGAAGCAAGTAGTGGAGAAATATATTAATTCATACATTATACCTTTGGTTATTATATGATAAACATGTACGATTTCTCCTTGCAAGTTTCTTGACATTTCCGGTTTTTCAATACCACTCCTCTGTAACGTTTTAAGGTCATATTTGTACTTCAAAACGAGATGAAACCAATACCAGTTTGTTTACAACACTCCTTATATATTTTATACTTACGTCTTAACATCTGTTATGAGAGACCAAATATTTACGCAATTTCTGCAATGTTCAGACTCGCGCAAAAAGATGACAGATTAAAAATGTGGGATAATGGTGTTTTTTATTTTGTTTCAGATTTGTCCAAGAATCGTTTCTGCGAATTACCCGAGGAAATTTTGGGTTTCCATTTTTTAGAAAAACTCCATTGCTACCACAACTCTATTAGATTAGTACCGGATGCTGTCAACAACCTTCAGTGTCTGAGTTTTTTGGATCTCAGCCGAAATCAGCTGACTAATTTACCTAGAGAGTTATGTCAACTTCCTATACAGGTGAAATTCTAACTATATTTCTACACCCTTCTTATCACTTCGTTTTTACGAAACTTGCTTTGTATGAAGTGAAAGTGTATGCATAATAAACTGTGGCATAATATCAAATATTTTCCAATATTCCAATATTTTCCCATAGAGTGAATTCAAAATTCAAATTTCGTTGTTTCTTTCGTTGGCTATGGATGCTTGGAAGGCAGTTTTCACTGAAATAATCTGTAAAACTGTGACATCTTTCGAAAATTGATACCTCAATCCACCGGTCCATAGTGGAATGATAATTTCAAAACTTTTGGGACCAAAATTAACTGTCTATTTCTTATATCAACAGTCCATCAAAACATTTTAACGCTGAGAGCATTACGAAAATCTCTTCAGAACCATCGTTAGGTATTATTGCTGTATAAATCAGACCATTAAGCGTGAGTTTTTTATTACTGCGTTAATTTCTTGGAACAGACGCTCTTGGCGTCTGCTCTTTAAACGTCTTTTCACTTCCAGATGATATCATTACGAAGCTATTGGGTATTCAAGTATTTTTCAGCGGAAACAGTCTAAGCGGCAACAGTTCAAATATGGTGTGACGAATCAGATTAAACGTTGGCCTTGAAATTCGTGCTTGCTAAAAGTCGTATGAAATTTCAAATAATTGATAGCAATTTATATTCACCACATGAAATGTTATTTTTTATTCTATAATGCCATGGTAATGAATTAATTAGGGAGTAAGCAGCTGATTCCTATAATGCGATTATCTCGAAAACTGTCAAGTTTTGATCTTTGATTATGTTCTTCTTTTTGTTGAGATAAATCTTGATTATTATGGTTAAAATAAAAATAGTGGTAGAAATGACGTCAACATTTGATTTTCAAATGGGACTCATCCTGTATTTTGAAATCTTCGCAATTATCTGAATCCAATGATACCTTATAGTCTCGCTTATAGTTGATATTCGAGTTGATATTCCTACTGTCAGAAAAGTCATTTCATTTCTAATGGATTATTGCTATTGATTTTTGAAAAGGAATGTTTCCATTTGAAATGAAATGAAAAATGATTCATTGTGTGTTTGAAATTGTCAATATTGTCTTGCCAATGTCAAATTACCACTTTCAATTTTCACATTCCTGTGTCTTTCCTTTGATGGTTTGATTGCAGTCAGATGAAGCTCATTTGAGTAGATTTCCAATTAATTCCTTTTTCCTGAGGTTGAACTTACTTATTGTAATGTTCTTTTGGCTTTTCAGCCGTTACAAAGTTTGTTGATTGTGAGGCTGGACTGATCATTATTATAACGAACCGATTATTACTGAAAAATTTTTATTGTTAAGATGTTTTTCCACATAACAGGTATGTCATCTCTTTCTCAGCTACCATTTTGTTTAACACCTGTACTACTTGTTACTTTCTAGGTACCTTTCAATTTGTGTCTGAAGATGGCCGTAGACCCGAAACTATAGTCACATAGTCATATAGTCAAAAAAATCTTACATAGACTGTTGGCGAAGTCTAGCTCAAAGCTATTCCACTTAACCAACAGAGGGCTATATATGCCCAAAAAAGCAAAATAACTCTAGCAAATTGACTAAGACAGCAAGGAAGGTAGAACAACAACAAAATTTGGAAAAAAAAATTAATTAACATGCAATACATATAATGGGTACTTACTAATCAATTGCTAGCAATACAAATGATTGAATTACGAGTGATAAAAAAAAATCTACGACATGAAGGATTAAATGATATTATATCAAGACTACCGAGTAGATGCTTCTTCAATTTATATTTGAACTTATTCATATTATAAACTTTAAATTTGTCAGGTAAAATATCATACATTTTAATAGGATTGAAGACAAAACATCTTTGGAAAAATGTATTTCTGTGTTGAGACATGGTCAGGATGGTTCTGTGTCTGATGTTTCTAGAGTGTATTCTGAATCGGGGAATAAATTTGCTTGCCTATTAAATATTTGTTTCTCCTGTTGAAAAATCCCGGACCACTTCGAGAACGGATGGTTTCCATGACTTATCTATAATGTTTCATCGTTTCATTCCGGTCCAGATCCTTCTAGTGTCCAACAACAACCTCACCGCCCTGCCGGACGAGATGTGCCGCATGTCGCACCTCACCGAGCTGGACGCCTCCTGCAACCGGCTCACCCACCTGCCGCCGCGCCTCAGCGAGCTGAGGTCGCTGAGGTCGCTCTGCGTGCGCGACAACCTGCTGTTGGCCGTGCCCGTGGAGCTGTGCGGTCTGAAGTTGGCGCGGCTGGACCTCAGAGCGAACCGGCTGGGCTGTCTGCCGGTGGAGATGCGCGAAATGGCGGGGCTGATCGAGCTGAGCGTCGAGGATAACCCGTTGACCAGTCCGCCTGCTAGCGTAAGTCGATGGCGTTAAGGAATTTGCCAGTAGGGTGTATTTGGAGTCAGACAATAGACAATATTTATGGAAATGAAGCATTTACTTTCAAGTAAAAGGTTTTGCTTTAATTCGTATTCATAATCTCTACTTCTTCCTTGAAAGGAAATGCTTCAGATTAATAAAGTAAAAGGTATAGCCCTTACCGGATCTGGTGAAATTGGAAAGAAGTCAGAAAATCAATAAACAAAAAAGAAGAAGAAGATAATATACAGCGATTATGACAGGTTGAGACTTGTAGTGTGCAATCAACGCTTACAGGTGTTCTGCGACAGCATAGTTTATTCGTTTTATAGTTAATACCGTATCCATTCGCTGCTTTGTTGTACAATCCGCTCAAGCACCCCATGAAATATGCTGGACACTATGGGCTGTTTACATCTCAATTCTTCAGCAATTCCGCTCTGGAATCCAGTTTTTGCGCAATAACGCAAAAATACTTTAATTTTCATCACATTATCCTCCTCAAATCTGAATAAAGTTGTTCAATCTGATTCACGTGGCGTGCTTCTTGGTTTGTGGTATTTTCTTGTAAGTAAATGCACCATATTACCCATAACAAACAGAGCACTGGGACTACACAACCAAAGATCATTCACTCAAGCCCGTCCACACTCTTCAAAATATGCAAATGTGACATTACATAATAATAAGCTGAGTGATGGCTGGGCAGCTACTGAATAGAGTATGAAAAGTTGTTGTGAACCTAGATTCCTTTTTTCAGAAGCACATCCTTCAGTTTTTGAGCATATTATGCTTCTTTTCATAAATAAGCAAACTCCTCGAAGCATAACCTTTTCCCTCAATTATTTTTATGCATATACCTTGAAGGAATTGCTTCATTTTTTTAAAGTAAAAGGTGAGGCTTCTTTTTATGAATATGGACTATGTGTACGTCTTCAAACCACTGAGCTAGAAACCATAATCGTTCTAAACGAAAACCTAGTTGGTAGGCGGGACGAAAGGCGAGATGTAAAATATTGTCTGTTCGTTGAAAAAAAAAAGGAAAATCGCACTTATTGACCATATTTTCAGTAAGCTAGTGACCTCTATTACGAACTAATTATGATTGACATTGATAAAGGACAATGCATTAGACAAATAACACTCAACTTGGCAGTAACTGCTGCCAACAAATAGGAAAAATATCAACGTCAGAGTTGGTAGAACTGATAAATATACTTCTTCTCCTGTCATTTGGCCTCTTCCTATAATATATTTTTCTCCGTCAACGTAAGAATTGGTCGTAAAGTTCCACATTGAGAGTAAAAAACGTAAGTCTATTCAAGTCTTTCTATAATTTGGGGTTTTCCATTTGTGCAAATATTCTACATCATTTTTTCCGAATATTTTCGATAAACCGGGAGTCTTGTGAAGGGGGAGTGAGAATTGGTCTCACCCATTGCTATACCTGACAACATTATCAATATTATTATTATTATTATTCACCATATCCAGTGGCCACGCCCAGAATCGACCGCTAAGCCAATTTATCATGCATGTACATGGCTATGCTATGTTTCTTGCGAGTTTATGTACAAAAGAATTATTTGTTGCGTCTTGTCTCTAGGTGCTTCTATGATGTTTCCGCTCTGCTGAGGGAAACACCATTAAATCACACTGTTCCTTGTCGTTTCCAGTTGTGCAAGCGCGGCAGAGTGCACATCTTCAAGTACCTCGAGCTGGAGGCGATGAAAGGCGAGGGCCGCAGGACGGACCAGGGCTCCGGCACGCTCGGCAGGCGGTCGAGGAGGAGCGGAGCCGGCTCGTCGCCCGGCCCCCTGCAGATGTCCGACCGGCTGAAGCACAAACGGCAGAACGTCGACAGCGGCTACAGCACGAGCAGCGATTGCTACGACAAGAGGTGGTCGCAGGAGATCAACGGTAAGACAAAGACATTTTTCCACCACTAACCTGAGAGGAGTTCCTCTAACCAAGGGAAATAATGATAAATTGGTATAGTATATTACGTAATATGTGTTGTAAAAAGCATATTACGCACGAATGGAAAAGTAATTCCATGATTTCATCCTCTAAGCACCATCTGCATTCAGGATCTTCCACAATTCCGATCGTGTTGAGATGCTTGTTCCAGTGCCAGTGCTCTGTCAGAAGGCCCACTACCAGTTCCAACTCCTTCCTGTTCAAAGCCAACAGGGCATTGGTCTGTCTTTGTGATGGATGTCCTTCGTGAAGTCTGGTCTACCTCATTCCTGGAGCCTCCAGCTGTCCTGAAACCTTTTCATAAAGATTTCCTTCATAGTGAAGTTACTCCAGGATCAAGTGATTCCCAAGACTGTCTTTGGACCAATCACTGAGCCCTTCATCCCCTTTTATCTAGGTATTCAGTTGATCATAACCATAGCAACGAACAACTTCTCAATCAATCTTAATTTCAACTCAGACAATTTCTTAATTATTTCGTTAGTAATGAGTATTTTTCATTTTAAAGTAGTACTTTTCCATTTTGATGAATTTCTTCTATATGTAGTTTATTTTACTTATTCCCCTCCAGCTGTCCTGAAACCTTTTCATAAGGATTTTCTATATACTGAAGTTACTCCAGGATCAAGTGATTCCCAAGACTGGCTTTGGACCAATCACTGAGCCGCTCATCCCCTTCTATCTAGGTATTCAGTTGATCACAACCATAGCAACGAGCCACTTCTCAATCAATCTTAATTTCTACTCCGACAGTAGTACTTTTCATGATTTTTTTCTATATGTATCTTAATATTTTTATTCATTCATTTATTTTCAGCCAAAACTGTAGATCAGAACGGCACACAATCTACTTTATCGACACCTTCAACGATATCTCCTGCTCCTGAATGCAATTCCGAGGAAGACTTGACAAAAACCAGCAACGGATCTGATGAACTGGACAAGTTCTTAGATTGTAGAAATAAGGAATATCTCAGGTATTTATGGACAACTCTAATGTGTATAGTACTCAACAAAAAAAAATTAACCAACTACACTTCAGAACACTTCATTGGACTTGAAATTTCTGGATTGCATTGGTATAATTGTTTTTCGGGTGTATTCTGTTTGCATTATTTTCCTATCATACCACCATGAATCGTAAAAACAACAATCCAAAATATTTTTAATTTTTTTTATGAAATTTGAACATAGTTTTTAAAACGTCATGCTCGCATTTAAATGATGATTTGATGTGTTCCCCAATGTATTTTGTTCTGGTTTTATTTTGGTGAGTGCTATCTAGTACAATTTCACATCCATTCTGCAGTTCTATAAAATGTAGTAATGTCTCCTAACTTGCCCGGTGTGATTTTTCAGTGCACGTCTCAGTCCTTGTTCTGATATCTTGTCTAACAGTAATGGAATCGAAGATAAAAAGCCTTTACACCAAATACAAACTTACAGGTAACTATAACCTAATATTTTTATCAAAGATAGGTTTAACAGAAAGGTTATGGACCTGTGAAACGTCACAACAAAATGCTCACAAATACATAAAAGATTAGGAAGAATATCTATGAGTGAAGACTGAAGTTTTCTTATTCGTCTTTTAGTTAGGAAATTGATCATCCATCATCTAATTTTGACATGTGAGTTGGCACTTTTCAACACTGTAGGAAGTTTTGAAACGTCTTACTTAACGTAACCAATTGAGCAAAGGAAAAAGTTAAATAACTGTTGATGAAATGTTCATTTCAGTTAAATCTAAACTAAAATCAGCCATTTTCCACTAATGAATAAATCAAACGAGTCATTATGTGAATTTCCTCGCTTATTTGTGACCATATGATTGTTTGACGGATACTTGAAAGTGAGGGGCGAAGTCAACTTGCCTACTAAATTTTGTACATAATCGGTAGAACTCATTTAGTACTGCTGGTCACTTTTTCTGCTCAATTTCTCTTCAAAATTAGAAAAATTATTGTGCGTAACTACATGATAATTAGGAAACACATTTCGTATAACTCTGTGTTTGTGTCCCATAGGTTCACAAAATGACGCGTTTCCTAACTGGTTACGTATATATCTATTTCAATAATTCATGAATATGAGGTGGTCACGGAAATGTACGATTTTGAATTTAGACCGAGAATTTTCTTGTAGTTCAGTTACATAGTTGAATAATGATGAATTACGTCGAATTACATTTGTGAGAAGAAATACGTATCCCCATATTTGCAGAGAGTACAAAGAAGCCCTCAAACAACAGCGGGCGCAAGACGTGCCTTCCATATACCGAGCGAAAGACGACCAAAACTACAAAACGGAACCGAACACGCCCACTCATCGACTGTCCCCCGCCCAAACTCTCGCCTCCTCCCAATCGGACCCCACCCCTTTGAATGCGCACGCCTTCGCCGTGTTCGACGAATCGAACGGCAAGAAGCTGGTGCAGAAGGTGCCGCCCACCAGGACGTACTCGCCCAGTCACGTGAACGGGGTGAACGGCACCGCCAAGATATCGAGTTACGTCAAACCGAAGTCGCCTGTCAAAGGTAATTATACATGAATAGTATATGGTGATTTACAATTTTTTATTACTTTTGAACATATTTCACGGAAAAGTTTGACATAAATAAATGGCCGTTAGCTGTTGTGACTATCCACTAAACAAGAAAAAAACGTCGAAAAATCATATTACTTCTTGATTTTTGTATATAAAATGTGCCATTGAAGTTCATCTGGCAATAATTCCACAGAGTTATCCCCACCATTCGCGATTTCATTCGGTTATCCGTGATTGTCGATCCTTTAGGATTGTTTGTGCATACTTTTTGATGATTTATGAATGAATCGCGGTGACTATGTACTGTATACAGAAATATTCATACCCCACAACTATTTAGTTTCAACCAAGTGGAAAAAATATTGAAGAAGGAAGAATATCATTCCAAATTCAAAATGATGGCGGGGGTAAACGACATTCAAAAGCAGTAATTGGTCTAATGTAATATGGCAGTGGTCTTCCTCATTTGACATTTGGTCTTCATTTGACATAAATAAATGGCCGTTAGCTGGTGTGACTATCCACTAAACAAGAAAAAATCGTCGAAAAATCATATTACTTGTTGATTTTTGTATATAAAATGTGCCATTGAAGTTCATCTGGCAATAATTCCACAGAGTTATCCCCACCATTCGCGATTTCATTCACTTATCCGTGATTGTCGATCCTTTAGGATTGTTGGCGCATACTTTTTGATGAGATTTCGTCCGATGCTAATCCTATAGATTATGATGATTACTTCTTTCGAAGGTTCCAGTGAAATCATGTCGCACGACAACGTGCCGGCTCTGAGACCGGCGCCGGCCAATGGTAAAGCTTCCAGCATAAAGGGGTACGCGAGCAGCACCCCGAAGACCGCCGGGACCGCGAAGACTCCGAGGAACATCAGTTGGAATCGCGATTTGCCCGCCGAGAAGCTATCGTTCACGATGCGCCGGGAGATCGACAAGGCCAAAGAAGAGACTGATTTGATCAACCAGCTGAGAAACGTAAGTCAATATTGCCACAGTCTATTATCCTAAACGAAGCAGTAAGGGTGTGTTTCTCATTCCAATAATTTTTCATGCCCATGAAGGGAACTGTTGCAAAATTCCGCTGAAATCTTGTTGGTACTAATAAAATGCCCACTTTCAATTTGCTTCCAGCGGTTTAGAGGAGATTGACGTGACAAATGACACATTTTTAGTATTATTCTTTGTTTTTATTTGATAGAAAACAAACAAATATTGAGGATTTTTGAGATTCTTGAGAGATTTTTGAAGATGGAATTAGTGTTAATTATTAAAATCGTATCAGCCTCTTCTTTCATGACAGAATGACACACACCGAAAACCGTTTTTCCATCAATGTGTTGTATATTCCATTGCAGCATCGGCTCCATCAGAAAATTGGTGACGTCATTCTCATAAACATTTGGCGGGCGTCCCTACTTTTGCATTGAAACTCGCGGTCGATGCGAGTATTTTTTGAATCTGTGATCAATGCAATTGTTTTATTGTTTGTACCAATTAAAAACCAAAAATAAAAGTTTCTTACCGATTGAATCATAAATTGTTGCTTTGATCATAAAATTGCCGTTCAGTGCATTCAGTGTGGAGTGTGTAGTGATGTCTTCAATGTTTTTCAGATTATTGAGGCTAAATTGAAGATGGTGTTGCCCGAAGATTTGGCTTCCTCACTGACAGATGGCGTGGTTTTGTGTCATTTGGCGAACTATATAAGGCCCAGGTCTGTCGCTAGCATTCACGTTCCTTCTCCAGCAGTGGTAAGTTCTCTCAGGGGAATTCAGAGGAAATTGCAGTCTATTTATATGAATAAATTTTTTTAGCCAAAGTTGACGATGGCCAGGTGCAGGAGAAATGTCGACAACTTTATCGAAGCATGTCGAAAAATTGGTGTAGATGAGGTGAGTTTTTTCTTTGATATCACGAATTTCGATATATCTGTTTCTAGATTGGTTTCTACTTCTTCTCCCGAAAAATTGGTGTAGATGAGGTGAGTTTTTTCTTTGATATCACGAATTTCGATATATCTGTTTCTAGATTGGTTTCTACTTCTTCTCCTAATTCAATTAGGTTTTTAGTTTGTGTAACATTCATCAGATAGAGCAAGGCAGTGTGTTTATACAACAATAACTTGCAATATCGAAGATACTCGGTATTCATCCAAAAAGTTTATGATTTTCTCCCGATTTATAACACACAATGTTCAAATTTGTCTGGCTCATAGGCCGTTCCTATGGGTTGGTCGATAACAGAATTGAAGTTGTGGATTCCGGCTATATACAGGGTGGGCCACCAGTAACGCCTCGGTCTCTAGAAGGCTAACCACATATCTTCTTGGAATTCTTCCTCTCTAGGAAGTTGCATGTCAACATAGGCTACCATTTGAAATTATTTTGAAACATACAGGATGTCCCCAAAAATCACAAAACACTGAAGTTGAACTTTTTTCAATCGAACACCCTATATATTATTTCATTTTGAGATTCTCCCTGGTGAGCTGATTTCAACAATCCATCATACTTGGGGTCTAGCAGTTATAATTACTGAGATATAGGGTGTGAGAAATCGAGATTTTCCAAGTTCAAGAATTTTTTGTGTCTAAACCATTCATAATTGGCCAAAACGGCTCACATGTCCCTATCTCAACTTTTGATCAACTATCTACTGACATTTAATTGAAACAAATACAGGGTGCTGCAGAATTCAGGATCTTGATCGCCCGGTATATGTCCCAATTAAATATCAGTAGATAGTTAATCAAAAGTTGAGATAGGACATGTAAGCCGTTTTCACGTTTTGACCAATTATGAATAGTTGCGACACAAAAAATTCTTGAACTTGGAAAATCTCGATTGTTCACACGCTATTTTTCAGTAATTATACCTGCTAGACCCCAAGTATGATGGGTCGTTGAAATCAGCTCATCAGGGAGAATCTCAAAATGAAATAATATATAGGGTGTTCGATAGAAAAAAGTTTAACTTCAGTGTTTTATGGTTTTTGGGAACACCCTGTATGTTTCGAAATAATTTTAAATGGTAGCCTATGTTGACATGCAACTTCCTAGAGAGGAAGAATTCCAAGAAGATAAGTGGTTAGCCTTCTAGAGACCGAGGCGTTACTGGTGACCCACCCTGTATTGTAGGTTGTGAAATAATGAAAGGTCAATGAACTAATAATAATATTAATTTGAATTGACCGAAAAAATCGTAAATGTTATTTTACCAAGCCTCAAATAGAATATAATATCTCAAATTATTCAGTTAGCCAATGATATATGAAATAAACCTGAAGGCAATCAATTCTGTCAACAGTAAAGAATTTCAACTTTTGAACATCTCAAATACATCAATGCTAATGTAGAAACTGATATAGATAGATAGTTTATCCTGTGTGAATATCTTTTAACTTCCTTACTATTCTTTTAATAAATAAATAATCAAATGACTGACTGTCAGTTCAAGACCGTCCAAGTTGTTTACGTTCAAAAAAGTCATGTTGAAACAAAAAACCAATTTCGATTCTAGTCAAGTTGGTGGTTGAATGATCGCCATAATTGTCTTCCCACTTCACACTGCTTCTAAGTTAATATTTACATATTGGGTGTCAACAAATCTGCCCTAACTTTCTCTAATATCAGGTGTATCAAAATGATATCGCATATTTTTCACTTCCCGATCACTTCCGGTTTCACCGGAAATTCGAAAATTTCACAACTTATAGGGTGTCCTCTTTGAAACTTCAAAATCGGAGCCATTTTCGACCGAACCGAAAGTAACCAAAAAGTGAACTATCAATAGGACTCATGATTTCATTCAGCGCTGCGAATTATTTCGGGACCTCCTACCTCTAACATACCCCTAGGGTCCCTTGATGCAAACTGACGTATTTGTCATCTAACAGGGTACGGACAGATCATAGATCCTTTCTCTTTTAATCATCTAGTGACTTTGGTTTCGTGTTTTGGCGTCCCTGACATGACATTGCTGTCACGTCACATTCATAGGCGTTAAAAGAGATCTTATTATTATATTATTATACCTAATCTCAATACGACATTATTCAATTCTGTTTTGGAAGGATTGTAAAATGTGCTGCGTTAGGCTGTATCAATTAGTCGGAAGGCAAATTTGAATTTGTCAGCTTTCCATCAAATGCAAATGAACTTAGAACATGGAAAGTGAAGTGACCGAATGGGGAAAATTGGTAAATATATCAGCAATATATTCGAGGCAAAACTAATACGAAATCTCATTGTGCCTATAATTATCCACTTCACAAGTTTTTGAATGCATTTTAGAAGAAACAGTTTTGATTAAAACAGTGTGAATACTCTAATGTAAAACGGCAAAGAAGAGGCATATGCCCTACCATTTTAAAAATTATACCTACATTCAGGAAATATTAAGTGTTCGTGAAAAACTGGAAAAATGATTCCCAACATGAATATATACAGCACACATGACATATGAGCACATTAGTTTGAATACCTACATAAAATTTTTCACCATTTCTCAACCATAAGGCTTAGTCTGAAATCAAAATTCATTCATTGATAGGTACTGCCTAAGAACAGTCCCATTTGGTAAAACGTATTAAACTTTCAGAAAAATTTGCTCACTGCCTCACAAACATTATGCTGGAGTTGAAAAATCAAAAACTCGAAAATCATCATCATCATTTGGATATATGTAGAGTTGAATGAGAAATTACATGTGGAAATTACGTATGATACGCCAATGTCCTCAATATAACCTAAAAAACAACAAATGTCAGAAATCTAGTGTTTATCTCCAGAAATGAATAAAGATGGAACTGTATAACTGTTTCACAAACACTTAAGAGTGAGACGAGGATCTGTCCGTACCCTGTTAAGATGACAAATACGTCAATTTACATCAAGGGACCCTACATACCCCCATTCCCGTTCTTTTTTAGACAGTGAATGAGACTGTGGTTGGTTGCAGGATCGCCTGTGCAGCAGCCTCGACGTCACCGAAGCCCTGTGCGGCAGGGGCCTTCCGCGGCTCCTCGACACCGTGGAGTGCCTTTGCGGCCTCGAAATCAATCAAAAGGGGACGACGCGAAGGCGTTCGAGGACAAGCGGCACCCTGCAAGATACCACAGTCTCATTCCTGTTGTTGGGGGCGTTTTTGGGGACGGTGTGGTTGCTTTTCGTGTTCCCGCCGTCGGGTTGAGAGGGCGTTATGTGAAGAGTGTGTACAGGGTGTTGTCGAATGAGTGGGAAAGTTCTTAGGGCGTGAATCCTTGTAATAGTGTTTGCTTCGTTTTTGAGACACGCAGAGTCTTTTTGCATATTTCAAAGAAACTTGATTGTTTAGTAACAAGTAGCTTCTATTGGTGCAATTAGATCGGAAATAATCATTTCAGTGGTATGGCCGTAGGTTACCTTGAATATATTTAAGGTAGGTATGTATATTTGTACGCTACTATTTTTTCTGAGTGCCATATTTTCATTAGATTGATCAACTGAAAATCAAACTTTCTTGTGCCTCGAGTTATTTTTGTATCTTATGCACAGATCTTGTGTAGCTTTCAAGAAAAGTGATAGAAACCTGATTCAACTTGTAGCTGCTCTCAAGACATCCATTGAGATTACTCAATAAGCGTCATTATGAAATTTTGAGACTTTGTTAGTCACTATCCAGACTAAATTTTGACATCATCAAAGACTATACAGGGTGAGAAAAAAACGATATTTCCTGTATCTGAAAAATGAAGCAAGTTGGGACAAATGTTTTATCCCATTCATGTGAACTCTCTAAAAACGTTCGCGCTAATTTGGCAACACCCTGTATAGATCCACCTTTAATTATGTGGGAACCTCTCGAATTCTATGAGTTTGCATTAAAGTTTTATAATGCAAGCTTTTCAAATGAGCTATTTTCGAGGTCATTATGCAATTCGCGGTCATCAAGTTCATTACATGACGTTGCAATAACATTAAAAACGGCAGAAAAACATGCCAATTTATGTCATGAGGTGGGATGTTTTCCCGTAGTTTTAAATGTTATCGAAACGTCATCTATTGGCCTTGACGACCGCGAATATTATATCCGCGGTTTTTAAGGTCATTATCTGACATGGCGATGACGTTAAAACTACGGGAAAACATACTAACTCCTGGCATAGGTGCAAAGTTGGACATGTTTTCCCCAGTTTTAACATCATCGCAACGTAAGATGATGACCTTGAAAACTGCGAATTAAAAATGTTTCCCCCACTCGGAACTATTTCTTTTCTCTTTGAAATATGAATACCAGTGAAATTCAAATGAAAACTTGAAACGTTCTCTATTTGAATAATACAGGGTGTTATAGGAACCCTTTATAATTCTTTGCATATTCAACAGTTTACTTCATGTCCTATCCCTGAGCTTTCCTTTTTTTATGTGAAATATTCGACTTCATTTAGTGCATTTGCTCTATATTAGTTTTTCATGCGACGAAAATAACAACTATATTGAATGAGCTTCCATATAATCGAAAAATGTCATCCTGAAAATTCCACACCTGCCTTTTGTAGGGTCATAAGCTTTCATTTGAAATAATTCCGGACAATATCTTCTTCATAGACCTGTGATTACACTGAAAATTCATCAAATTTTTGAAGTGACATTTCATTCCTTCATTGGAAATAGTCCACTGACCGGAATTTAAAAATAAATGATATATTGATTAAAAAGCTCTGGTAATATGAAGGTGTGAAAAATTTTCAGGCTATATTTCGTGCATTTGGAGTTATGAAAATTGATTCTTATGTCTTCTTCATAAAATGATATATCAATTATCATTTTAATGATATTGTGCCAGACTACATAGACAGATTGATTTTATCGGTAATTTTGCACTTATCATGCAATGGGCTTTTTTCCGAAATCTGTTGTTGGTACTTACGTATTTTTGTCTGAAAAACACGAATTTGATAATGAAAATGTGAACAAACCATTATTTATTAAGATATTTTACTGTAAAGTTACAAATTTCACCTTCTTTTCCGCCTGTCTTTGGATCGCATTTAGAACAATTTGCCTTTCTTTTTTCATCATTGGACAATTTATATACAGTATGATGCAAATGTATGGAATAAATTCATTATTTCAGAAATGGGCGACATCTTAAAAAATTCCAAAAACACGTGAGGTTTCATTTTTGAAGCCTCATCTCATGATATCCATATGAGAGATGTTACGTCACCGGTGTTGGAGTAATGACGTAATGAAAACAGGGGTCATGTGACACCTCGTTTGAAAGGTCTACTGATCGTCTATTCAACAGTCAACATTTTGCATAAGAAAATTGAAATTAAAATGGCTTATCATTTGATTAACTGAATCTTGCAGAGGTCTGCTACTGAGAATTGAACAACGACGGGTCGTCTATTTAAAAAAAATAAATCAATTAATAAAGTTCTGAAGTCTAGTTTTTGGATTTTTTCGGAAGTCGTCTTGTTTTGAAATGAATGTATTCCATACATTTGCATCATACTGTATATCACACAATGTTGGACACATTTTTTTATTATATGAGTCAACTAGAAATATGATTTTCTTGTGATTTATCCATGTTTAGTGAAAAGAAGGAAGAAAATCATTTGAAATAATGGCGTGTGTAATGTCATTCCAGAGCAATCTATTGACATTTGACATCTCGTATTTGGATTGCCTATGGATTAAATGGCCGTCATCTGGTATGCTTGCTCACTAAATAGGAAAAACTCGCCATAAAATTTTTTAGCTTGAAATATGTCATTGAAGTACATCATGAGTATGTAAAGTGTCCAATGACAAAATAAAAAGAGCAAGTACCTGTAAATGCATCCAACAGAAGGGGGAAAATTAGGCAAAATTTCGAACTTTCTCTTGAAATATCTCGATAAATAGTGGTTTGTTCACATTCACATTATCAAATTCGTGTTTTTCAGACAAAAATACGTAATGTTGAATATATCCAGGAACTATCTAAAAGTTTTTTATTCAACGGTATATATGAATCTTTTGTGATTCCAAAGACAAAAATGACTGTTCAAACTTTTTTATTTATTTGACAACTTCAATCATAATTATTTTTCTAAAAACAAAACCTGACACCTGTAACTATATACAGAGCATCTATAAGGTGAAATATAAATAATTAACACGTAAGTACCAAAAAAAAATTCCGAAAAAAAAACCATCGCTTGATAAGTGCAAAATTACCATTTTATCTACTTCATAGTAGGAGTTTTGGAAATAATCTCAATATGCCAAATATCTTAAACATTCCACGAAAATATGTTAAGTATTCCTAGTTATGCTTCGTAGATTTGTTAAATTTTAGAGTTTTATATTGCCAATTAGTTGCAGAGCAGACTAAATGTGATTTTGGTTAATTCAGTGCCTCAAGTGAGTGTTTTGACTTGTTGAAAAATAATTTGATTCCGTTCAATATTTACATTCCAATATATTGGTGCTAAATTGGTTAGGGCTATCATTTGTAATACGAAAATTTTAATGTTTTGGGATAAAATCAGGTTGTATGTATACAGTTATTTGTACATATTTGTATCGGAAATATTTTAGCTTATAGCTGATATCGAAACGTTGGGGTGCTAAATCGAAAAAAGTTTCTTGAATTTGAAATAAAACAGTGGCGGTTGGTTTGTTTTAATTTTAGAGGCCGTAGTGGCCGTCACTGTTGCTAATCCATCTCATGCATCTCTAGTACTATTTTCCTACTTAAGATGATCTAGTCAATAGAATATTTTCCCAGTATTAGAAAAATATCAAAGTGTAATGAAGTGGTTTTGACCAGCTTCATTACTAGACTGGTTTTGATCAAAATCTAAGTACCTGAGCCTGATTCTAGTCGAATTTCACCTGTTCGAAAGCTCGAAACCTGAAAACCTGAGAGAGCTGAGTAATGCATTGATTCCTGACTTCCCACAGCTTTTCCTGATAGTAAAAGCTGATGAACATCATTACAACCCTAAAGACTTCAATATTTTTCAACCCTTTGCTTATGATATGAAATTTGATTGAATTATTTATCAGTTGAAATGATGAATGATTAAATGCTCATAACTTTGTTGTTATTGAATATTTTCCAGCCAAATTCATTCAGTAGCATAAGCAAAGGTAGTAGATCCTGTTCCTGTGCCCATTTAGGGTGTAATATTATTTTTTCCGCGTTTTGTGTTGGAGGTGCACATGTGTTTTTCAAGGACAGATTCAGTGGCCATGGCCATGAGCCATGACAAGGTGGGAGTTTTGACCAATGAGATTCCAGATTTACTTGTCCTCGTGCCAAGGCCAAAGCAGTGCATAAATACTGAAGACAGCCAAGGATTCGGGACACTCTCAAAGCTCTTCTTGACAAGTCTACACTACCTGATCGCCGTTGCTCTTCAAGCTCCTGATTCTCTGGCTGATCTTTTAGTGCTCTCATAGTTCATTCAAAACCGGTGTAAAATAGTATTGTATAGTGATTTCCTGTTACACATGTAAGTTTGTATATTTTTCACCAGTGTTATTCATCCTGTTTATAGCCTCATTTCATTCCTGTTGTTTTTCACACCGATACTCACCCGACCTGTGTAAAGAATCCAGAACTCTAAATTGAATAAACGGATTTTGTGATTGCATATTTCATATTTCCTTCTCTGTTGTCATTGTTTTCAGTTCCAAATAGTTCAATAATTTATTTAGTGATTTTCAATATTTTCATTTGTCAAAATTGCAGAATATTATTATTGGTTGACGACTGACACTGACAAGCCAGTTAACAACTCTTCTTCTTCTTTTCCTTGAGAAATCCAGTCCTGTGCACCGTGCACCGGTGTCTCTGTGCTTTGTATCCCGTCAGGCGGTGTTCTATGTTTCATGAACTATTGACATTAATGGAAAAATATAATTAATTAACCTCACTAAAAATCCGATATTAGAAAATTAGGAAAATCGAAGGAAAAGAAAAGATAAATAGAAATTGAATCTGTTTAATTCATTTAGACCTGTGTTTCCGATTCTCCAGGTAGAAATGATGAAATAGTTGAGTAAATAATCTTCCAGACCTAACCTTAAAATATCAAAGACCTGAGAGATAGTTTGCTTTGATTCCTGTAATTATCCAGACCAGAAATAGCAACCAGTATTCCAGGCTAGACCCAGGGTTTGTAATTAAAGCCTACACTCCCTTGGCTACATATTGATTCCAGGTCGATTCAATACCATTGACCCCTGGATTATACTGTGGGTACCGAGGTAGGTATACCTCCTGTACCTTTCTCCACTGTTGCTACTGTGGGCCTCCTTCCCGACTAAGTTGGGAGGAGCAGGTGAAGTAAATCACCTTTATCAAAAATCTGGCGCTCGAGAATCCCTCCTGTCAAATACCAGAGTAGTCTCCTGTCCTGAACAGAGCGTCAAAGTAAGGGCCTCCAGAATAAAGACTCTTACAAATGACGCCCTAGAGCAGGGACTTTTTGGTTATTGAATCAGAAAATAGTCCAGTCCTGTCCAACAGAAAAGTTACTTGATACAAGTCCAGTACATTTTTTTTTTTTCCTGAACCAGTATTTCATTGTTTGGAATCAGAATCATAGCATTTTTCCAGAAAGTACCTGTATAGTTTGTTTTTTGAGAGTTGATTATAAATTTGAACCTGATTTTTGTAGAGAACAGTTCCAGTCAACTTGAGCTATAATTAAAATCAAAGTCCAGAAAATATTTGTTGAGTCCATATATTTTTTTTTGTTATGAGAGTCACTGAATTTTGAGACAGCAAGAGAGACAAATCCGTTAATTTCCGAATACAGTTCATCCTGATAATCATCCTGACATTCCAGCTCATTTAACCAGTTGAATAAAATGTTAGGCCCTGATATAGTTGATGATATATGTAAAGGTTGTGAGAACCTCCAAAAATCGAGGAATCCAGGTCCAGAGAGCTACCGAGAGCACATATCAGGTTTGAACCCAAGAGTGAGTTGGGTATATAACCTGAACCACTCCGAATTAATCAGAGAACTGAGAAGGTATGGTCTAAAAACTGAAGGTCCTGTGGAGATGCTACAAAACCGATTGATGTGGTTCCTGAGGGTGGAAGTTCCTGAAATATTAGCCCTTAGGCCTGAGAATCTTGTGAGGAAACCGCCTCCAGATTTACCAGATATTCCTGAACCACATGAGCCTCCAGATAGTCCTGAACCAACTCCAGGTAGTCCAGAAACACATCCGGATGATCCTGAAACAACTCTAGAGAGTCCTGACATACCTCCTGATAGTCCTGAAATTCCTGTCCTGTGTTATTCTAGTGGATTGAACACCTATCACTGGAATTTGCAATTTGATGGAACAACAGATCCGGTAGATTTTCTGGAAAGACTAGAAGAGATGGGAAACGTGCAGAAAGTAGAACAAGACCAGCTCTTGGATGTATTACCTGACCTGTTAAAAGGAAGAGTTCTGTTATGGTACCGCTGTAATAAAGGAAACTGGAATTCCTGGCCAGCTTTCAAAGAGTGTTTCCAGGTAGCATACTTTCCGTTTCGATATCATGAACAGCTCCAGATTGATATCATCCAGAGGAAACAGACAGTGGAAGAACCAGCCAGAGATTATGTGATAGACATGCAGACACTAATC